TATGTACACTGAAAGTAGTGAGTTCTTTTTCTTAAGGAGCTTTTATTAAATCAATGGAGTAGCCTCACAATCGATAGCATCTATGTAGTACAGAAACACACAACAGCATTTATTGGATGTGTTTGGCACTGCTGAAATAAAAAGTGAAAAAACAAGATGTCTGCTTTCAAATACTTTGCAGCCAAAGAAAAATCTAGACCAATGTTTGTGAATAGAATAATTCCTAGTAACACAGTCCCAGCAGGTAATCATAGGTGAAGTGGGAATTTTTCAGAAGAAAGAGATATCAGCACAGGTCAGAGAAAACAAAGGAAGAAAGGAAGGGAGATGAAGCAGTCTCTGGGGATGGGGTAGGGCAAGTCCTGCACATTCTGAGTCCTCCAGATGTTGGGTTGTATAATTGAGACAAATTAGTACTTAAATCTGCCAGCAATTTATTTTAACCACTGGAGGTGAAGTATTTGACTTACTGATGAACTTCTAAAAATGATAGAAGGGGAAAGAATGTCCAAAATCTTTTCTGCATCCTCTGTTGAAGCTGGAATTTATTCTCCATGCAAGTCTGGCCTTTGTTTTGAGAGATCAGTTTGGTGAGTCACTGAGTTACAGATATTTAAAGCAAGTACCTCCTCATTGTTCTCAGAAAACGCAGAAACATGACATATTCCAAATGCTTCAGGCCAAGTGTTCTGCATATTAAAAAATAAAGTGGTCATTTGATGGGGAGGCATTGTTGCTTCCTTGAAAAGTTTATTATATATTTCCCGAGCACTGCATTCTTTGCTTTCCAACACACACTGCACCCACCGTCCAAAAGAGACATTTGAGTTGAGAATCAGAATAGAGAAGCACAGTTTAGGGGCTCTAGGATAGGGGGGACCATTGGGAGATCGTCTATGGGACTCGGTAATTAGATTTTACAGCAATTGTTTCTAATACTCAGTTTCATTTCTTCCCCACATCTATACTATTATCCCCTATTCCTGGCTTTTCAACAAGTTTTGTTAATGCTACAAATCTGACATTAGCTCTTGCAAACTAAAAGAAGGCTATGTCCTTGCCTGGGTCCAAGTAGACCAGAAAGTATGGCAGAAATGTTTAAAAAATGGTTGTAACTCACAAGAAGAGACTCATGGAGAAGTCCAAGAGAAGTGGTTAATAAACAGCAACCAAAGCCAGGAAGTAAATTTCCAAAAGAGACCTAGGACATGCGCAGGGAGAGAAGTGGAGATTCTATACCCATGAAGGACAAGGGTGCCTTGACGCTTGTGAGTAGGAAAGGGAAGCAGGACTCTGAAGACTCTGAGCCTGGAAACAGTAAATATATGAGCACCTGTGTTTGGAGCAAATGTCCCTAGTGTCTTCCCTAACCATTTCATGACCTCTACCCCAAATTATTACGAACCACTGAACTATGGTGAAAGATGGCAAGAATTGGACAAGCCAAATAGGAGGAGAGGTCATACAGAAACATAAGATTTTCCTCTAAATACACATTTTAAATATGCTAAGGAAAACACTTTGGAATGTCAGCTACACATTTGGTAATAGATTATATGCAATTAGACTTTAAGACATATTGTATTATGGCCCCTGAATATCATCAGCTTTTGGTTCCAGTGCTCTCTCAGCAAGTCAACAGATAATACAGCTGCCCCAGGGAGTTCATTCTTGCAAACTCCTGGGCACCTGGCTAATTAATTGCTATTTATCACTTTAGACTTCCATACCATTAAAACATGCAAAGCATTAAAAGTGGAATTCCTACTAAGAGTCGAATATATGCCTTTGTTCTTTTTTCAGGCTGTGTTAAAAAATTAAAAACAATTTAACTGAACAACAGGTAACTGAAAATAACTTAATATTTTATGTACGTCATTTTGCACTAGATCACAGTATGACCTTACAATGAAATAAAATGCAACCTCTAAAAATTAGTTGCATCAAAATGTTAACAGGTACCATTATTATGAATGATGATAATAGCTGTGGAAAATGTTTCTTTTCTTTTTTTATTTACTTTTATTTTGCTGATCTATTTTCATATTTCCTCAAATGCTCATCGGTTCTATAGCAAGCTAAACAATAAAAATTGCTATTAGCAAGTGGAGAAAAAGATTTGCGATTGTAGAGAAACCATTATTTATTATTACAAAAGTTTATAAAATATCTGCAAGAAAATGCCACCTAAAACGTAGATACGCGCAGAAAAAATTATGTAAAGAGCAGGTAGTAAAAAGTTGATCATTATATTTATTATTTTTTTCTTTTCTGTTTTGCAAGTTTTCTGTACTGTGTATAAGTTAATTTTTTAAGTTATTATTCAAAAAACAACTGAAGAATGATAATTTTTAACATTAGACATTTGTTCTTTAAGCAACAATCCTAAGAACTGGGGACCTGTATTTGGCCATCCCTTTTAGGCCTTTGCGAAGTTTCAGAAGGTGTCAGCCATCACTTGGGGGAAAATCGTTTCCTTGGCTCACAATGGTCCTTGCAGGGATATCTCCAACTGGAAGTAGATACAGATATGGACATGGGTATGGATATGAAGACAGATACAGATACAGGTAGAGAGATTGTAACAGGTAGATATCAGGTACACACACATACAAAAAGAAAAATCTTATCTTGATTTTTCTAATGAGATTCTAGGTTTTCAGCAACTTAGCAGAAAGAAGCCTTGAAATCTGTTAATAGTTCCTGTCTCCCCCAGCAACACCAATGGTTATAAAGTATAAAGCTGCATGGACTACAGGCAACAACAACATTTGAAAAAGCGCTATTTAGCCAAGTTTGTCTAGAGCTGGATTTTGGGTGTAAAATTTTGAAGTGAGCAGTTTTACCATGTGTATGACTAATGCCTAACATGAAAGCTCTTCCTGCTCTAGCTCAGCCCAGGGTCCTTCACTCCCTGCCTTTCACTCCCAGGGTCCTTCACTCCCTTCATGTCCCTGGCTCGGGAAGCTCTGTGGACCAGAACAGTGCTTCAGCCCTCCCTTCCCTGGAAGAGTCAAAGCATTTTCACCGTCTTTCAAGACGTCTTTTGGACGTCCACCATCTTTTGGATGGGGTCCCCCATGGCTAGAAATGGAACACTCCTCAGGGCAAATGCAAAAGGAACCTGAAAAAGCAGTTTTTGTCAAATTGCAGGGAATATTTAGGGGAGATGACAAGAAAATGTCTAGTATCTCAAGACTAGCAACAGCAGGGGCTTCTAGGCAGAAGGTGCGTTTACAGGACCTGATCTTCAGTTGCTTACTTTAGTACCTCAGTCTTTAAGAAAAAGAACGCAAAACTACGAATATAAAATTAATGCAAATGAATGTTTTAAAGTGAGAAAATAAATTACAATAATGTACAAAGTTCAACAAAACTACACAAAGATAGGCGGGGGATTTAGCTCAGTGGTTTCACCGCCTGCCTTGCAAGCGCAAGGACCCGAGTTTGATCCCTGGTACCAAAAGAAAAAAAAAAGAAAAAAGAAAAAAAAAGCTACACAAAGACTACAAAATCTGAAAAAATATATACATTAATTAATTGCCTAATTAAGTGCTATAATACTTTCTCCCTAAATTTAAGGCTAGTCTTCGAATACCTCAAATGGCAATGCCATGTATATTTTTATGACTTAAAGTTGGAAAGATGTCTAAGCTTTAATTTCATAACTTATTACAGGTAATATCATGTGAATATGTAGGATTATTATGAAACATTAAAAAAAGTTAGCTGGCCTTTTTTATGCACCCTTTAAGATTTGGATGGATTTTTACAGACTAGCTTCTGGCTCTATATCTTTTTTTTTTTTTTTTTTGGTACTGAGGATCGAACTCAGATCCTTCCGGTTGCAAGGCAGGCGGTGGAATCACTGAGCTAAATCCCCAGCCCCTATATCTTTTAAAGATTACTTTTCCCTCAGGATTCATTTCCTTCTGTGTCACACATTGTAGGATGTGTCACAGTTCAGTATCTGCCATGCATTTCCACATGGTAATGCCAGGCAGACCGGTAGCAGCTAATGAAAGTCTTTCTGAAAGCCATTCCTATGTCAGGAAGATTATCCACAACTTAACTATTTGTGGTAACAACTACTGAGCATGTAAAAATTATAAAAGAAAAGGTGACAGAAACAAGTAAAAATAGAAAGACTCAGCAATGTTACTCAATTTGAGTTGCAATATTTGTATTAGTTTTCTCTTGCTGCATAATAGATTACCACCAACTTAGAAACTTGAAACAACACCCATTTATTAGCTCATAGCTCTGTAAATCAGAAATATACCACCATGTGGCTTTGTCCTCTGCTTAGGGTGTCACAAAACTGAAATTACAGTGTTGGGCTGAGTCCTAACCTAGAGACTCGGGGAGAAATCTGCTTTAAGTTTATTCAGTCTGTTGGCAGGATTTAGTTATTGGCAGCTACAGGACTGAGGTCTGTATTTCCTTCATGGTTGTCAGCTGGGAGCCTCTGGCACCTCAGTTTCCTGCATTCCTTTGCCTGTGACCTCCATCTAGGGGCCAGCAATGTAGCCTTGAATCTCGCTCTGTCTTCAAACATCACTGACTTCCTCTTCTGCCACCAGCTGGAGAAACCTCTCCACTTCTAAGGACTTGTTAAATTACTAAGTTAACTAAATAAGGCTACCCAGATAATCTCCCCATCTTAAAGTCAACCGTGCCACATACTTGGCATCATTATATCTTCTCATATTTATAGATTTCAAAATTAGACCATAGAATCTTGGGAACCATTTTTTAAATCCCCGTTATTTCAAGATATTACTTCAGCAAAGGAGCCCAACAAATGTTGATACAGACACATTGTTATTAAGGTTATTCCTAGGGCTTGGAAGGGATGTGAGCAAAGGAAAACCAAAACCCTTCAATGATAACTCCACCTCTAAGTTTTGATGTTTCTACCCATCCAGGGTCTAGGGGAGGGAGCGGTTACTTGAACTAGAGACTGTACCCTTATGGATCTGTGCTTCAGAACAGGTTACCTGCAGTAACCAGGTTGAAGAGAGTCAAAGGCATAAAAGCTTCACTCTCACTCTTGCAGGTTCTCTTGTTGATGCCTTACATTGTCAAACCCGCTGGGAGCCAGAAGACAGAGGAGCCCATTGAAGCAAAGTAGTTCCATCAATGTCCTGGACAAAGAGTAGAATGAAAAAGTCATAAAAGGGATCCAGAGAGAAGACATTCATCTGCTGGCCATCACATTCTCCAGTCCTTTAGTGTTTACTGATGATGCTAGCTTGCTGACACTCACCCTGTGGCCTGTCTGCTAGCCCCTGAAATATTGTATAGGTGGAGAGTGGCATCCATATCTCAAACTGCCAGTTACTTGGAGGAAGAAGGCATGCGTACCTTTTCATTTATTTCCGTGACCCAAAACACAAAGAATGATATTCAGCTGAGCTCTGTAAGAACAGGCAGAAAGAGAAATTGAAAATGATAAGGATATTATGTATGCATGTATCGATTCCCCAGTGTGAATGGAAATAGCATGTATTACAAATATATACCAAGTAGAAAGAGATTGTTGTCCATGGAAAGTATTTGGCTGAACTATGGACTGCCAGGATTGTCTGTGGCATATATTTAAGAATTGCATTTATCATTCAAAGTTGGACACTTTTGAGAGAAGAAAGAAATGTTATTTTTAATTATCCTAGGTCAAAAGCATTAGCAGTTATATTTTAGACAAAGGAGGCTATATGGTTACCAAGAGAAAATGAATGTTTGTTAAACATGTAGATCAGTAAATCAAAGGATGGATTGAAAGTTTGACTGGAATATTCCATTATGTCTTTTGCGTCTTCCACCTCTGAGCCCTTTTTTCATGTTCTATCCTCCACTTCCTTAAACTTTAATCATTTTTTTTTACTACTATCTCTGATCCTTCCATCCCTGGAGATCTAGATTCAAATTTCTTACTGCCTAAAATAATTTCAAATCCAACATGTGTACATCACTGAGAGTATTACTTCCCACTTATACTCTTCCTAACTTTGTTTTGGTTTTGGTTTTGGGATTTTTTGGTACGAAGGATTGAACTCAGGTCCTTGCGCTGGTGAGGCAGACGGCAGAGCCACTGAGCTAAATCCCTGGCCCCTAATTTGTAAATACTATTGTCACCTCTTGGCCCCCTAAGCAAGGGGCTTTAGTAGTATTGGACCCGTCTTGAATAGAAGCTCACACCTCAGTAACTTCTATTCAATCAATTGTTAAGTTTTCTAAATTCTTTCTTCATGCATTTCTGTGTATTCCATTCTTTCAACCAAGCTGAGCGCCATATGCAGATCTCTATCAGGTCTCTATCACCCTGTTTACTACTAAAGCCTCCTCTCTAGTTTCCAAGGTCCAATTCCTCTATTTTTCAGTCCAATTGTGCCTCTGGCACTGCAACTGTCAGCCTGCCACATAGTTGGGATCATATCACAGAAGTGTTTTCATAGGTCTGGTACCTATAAAACAATCAATCTTCCATGGCTTGGCATTCAACAATTCTCACAACATGGCTCAGCCTCACCTGGTGTTATCCACATTGCTCTCCTCCAGGTATACATATTTCTCCTAGTGGGTATTCACATCTACAAATGCAAGCGATCCCTAACATCTTTTTATTACTGTGCTGATGCTTATTTGCAATGTTTGTCAATTTCCATGGTGTGAATATTCTCACTGTGGCCAATTTGATGGTCGCGATTGTATGTCACTGAACAGAGTTGGGGAGAAATGCACACATTCATCTCTTAAATGCTAGCTGCAAGCCATCACTACTCCTTTGTCCACCTCTAAAAAATCCTGCTTTCCTTCAGGGGTTGGATTCAGTGACTTCATCTTCTGAAAGACTTCTATGATTTCACCTTTTCTCACAACTCTGGGATTTAGGATTACTTCCTTCTTTCTTTGCTCTCACTGGACATGACTTTGAGTTATTTTTTCCACATTTTTCATTTTATCTTAAGCTCTGGAAAGCAGGTTGCCTAACAATAAAGCTCATCTAAAATGTATGTTGAAGGCTGAGAATATAACTCAATTGGAAGAATGCTCCTAGCATGTACAAGGTCATGGGTTCAATTCTCAGCACTACAATCAATCGATAAAAAGTGCACGATGGTTTTCTGCATAATGCATTGTGTTTTGGGACTCTTAACTCAGTCTTCTCCACGTACAATAGCTCTGACTTACATTCAGGACATATTACTTACTATGGTTTATTTTTATTACTTTATGAAGAAATCTACACACTTGTTCATTTCTTTCCTTCTTTCACACAAGATTCAAAGGCCCATGAGATATCAAGAAGCTAGAAGAACTTGGCTTTCAGAATGTTTAGATACCCTGCAGCGCATGCAGATATGGGCAAAATACTACCTCAATACCAGCCCCCAGGAATAAGTTTTTCCTGAGATTGCATAGCACATCATGTTTCCTCATTACAAAATCTTACATAATACAAAGAAAATATGTCTGCAATTCAAGAGACCTGTGTCAAAGTCCGAGCTCTACCACATTCTAGCTGTGTGTTAAAAAGCTTTCCCGGGCCATGCCTGCCTTGCAACCGCAAGGTCCTGAGTTCAATCCCCGGTACCAAAAAAGAAAAAAAAAAAAGAAAACTTTACCCATATGGAGAGCCCTTTCTGTTTTCCATCCAAGGAACATTAACTGTTTCAAAATCAACCTCCAAAATTCAGCGGAGATGTTTGATCTCATCCCAGTGACTTCCCGTCTCTACTTCATCCATTTTATTTATATAGGATAGTTACCTTAATCCCATTGAGAGAGGGCAGATGGGAAAAAAAACTTAATGGATTAAATAATTATTTAGATAATGTTAAAACAGGGATCTGTTTCTTCAGAACAGTATTTTCTTATCTTCATAGCTCTCCTGGATAAACTAATCTCAGTTTCTCCTTCTATTACATCATATCTGATTAGGATTTATTTTCATGAGTCAAGAGTAATCTCACTACACTGCTAGCCCTACTGTCAAACTGGTGTCAAAAGTAAAGCTCCAAATCACATCTACTTTCAAATCAAAATAATTTTTTGCAGACACTCTCTGCCACCCCACAACATTCAGCTGGGTCAACAATTTATAATCAGATCAATTTATTTGATTAGGTTATTTCTGAGAGTTCACCAGGGTGTCATATGATTGGAAGTTGAGGTATTTTTAAATGACCACCCTGGCTGACAGGAAACACTCCTCGGACTATACCCTAGGCCACTGACTCTCAATTTCAGCCATGTTAGAATTATTTGAGAAGATTTAAAAATATTTTCAATTTTCAAGCTACATCACAGAGGAATTAAATGAAAATTTCTTCTATCGCTTCTTGGCCTTTTGGCTAGGATCAAGTGTAAATGAAAATTTCTAGGCATGAGACCCAGACATTTGTATTAAAAAAAAAAACACTCACATGATTTCAATGTGTACCCAATGCTGAGAACTACCATAGCCATAATCTATTGAAGTTGTCCTCAAATATTTTTGTTTGTTCATAATAAGGGCATGATTTTATCAAATAAATTATAAATAAGGTGTGACAGGCTGTTGTATAATAATCCTCTGCTCTTGAATATGGACTAAATTTATTGCCTATCTTTCAATGACTAGAATACTGCAAAAGTAATGGGCTGTCATTTCTGAGATTCGGCTCTAAGAACACTATGGTTCCCACCCTGAGTTTTCTCTCTCTCTCTATTTCTTGGATCGCTAGCACCTTAACTGTAACCTCTCGAACAATCTTGAACCAGAACTGCCTGTCTCCTAGATCCTGGACTCAGGGAAACTATGTGAGATTACAAAGACAAGAAAGGGTAAAGGGAGAAAGAAAAATAAAAAGAGTGATTCAAAATGAAAGAATAAAAGCACAGTACTTGTATAGATTTCTGTCTCTCTAGATTTAGAGAGTGTGCCTTATTCTTCATAAAATATACACAAAGTAAGGCATAATAATGATTATTCATATAATCTGTTCAACTACTCTTCCCTCTGGGGCTTTTGCTCTCATTGTGTTTCCAGCATTACATAACCACCTGTGCATCCTCAGGGCTTTGACCCTGGCTATGTCTTTGGTGCTTGATCATATGAAAGCCAAAAAGCAACTCACAGTTGTTAAATGTCTCCCATGTGAGAAAATTTCTCCATCTTGGCCATGACACCTCGTGTCATTTCCATAACCACACGTAGGTGTCCAGCCTTTTAGCTTACCTGGGCCACACTGCGTGAAGAGAAACTGCCTTGGATTGCATATAAAATATATAATATAGTTAATATATAAGTAATAAAAATACTTTCAATATTATTTTATTATAACATTTTTTAAAGAGGGCAAGTGGCTCACAAGCCACAGATTGGCCTTTGCCATTTCTATCTCATGTGTGAAAAGCCTAACATGGAAGCAGTTCAGAAAATTTCCATTGATCACACAGATAAGTGATGCAGTAAAAATGAACCCCAAACTACCTGTTCATTCATCTTCAGATAATGTTTTAATGCCTCACAGTAAGTGTTGAATAACAGATCAGCATCTTGGAGAAATTCTCAGAGTCTGGAAGAGTGAAAACCATGGACTGAATCTCACAGAGAAGGAGACTAAGGGAGGCTTGGGGAAGTGAACTGACTCACACAAGTTCCCACACCTCTTTAAAGTTGATTGGAGAATTAATACAGCCCTTCCAGAGCCAGGACATGTAGTGCTGAGGAATGTGGGATTCCGTTTCAGACATATCTGCTTGGAGGTCCATCTCCACCAATTTATTCATTCAATACCTATTGACTGAGAAGTTTCTATGGAACAGCCCTGGTCTGTTTGTTAGAAATTGAACAAAACTGAGAAGGACCTGCTTTCATGGCAGTGACATCCTTTTAGGGGAAGGTACATGATAGAGACAGAGAGGTAGATGTTGATAGTACAGCAGGGTTCATTCAATAATTCCAAGTAGTGATAGAAATGGTGACAAAGTACAGAGAAGTCATGTGACAGTGTGACAGGATGGCTTTGGATAATGTGATCAAGGAGGCCCCCAGGGGAGAGGACAGCTAGGCTGACCCTGAATGGTGGAATGATCCAGTCCTGTGAAGATCTGAAGAGGAAGTCTCACACACAAAAGCCCTGGAGGGATTGAAGAATATCCACTCCCTGGCTAATTTTCTTTAGGCAACTTATTATGATTCAGTGGGGTGCATTTTTCTCATTCCTGGAAATGACAATGGTCCTTTCTTCAAGGGCCTTGGCATAGGACACACACTCAGTAAAGTGTTTTTGAATAAATGGCATTGAGCTCACCTTTGTTCATTTTGCCTATTGCTCAGGCTCACGTCTGAATGAGCACCCAGGGAAATTTCCCATACCCAGGATCATCTTCCCCTTCTACAAATCAAAAAGAAAAACAAAAAACAAATCCA